AGCAAGAAGAGACCTGGATTTGGGGGGAAGATGGGTGGTCAGGGAAGGCCTCTCTGAAGAAGTGACATTTCTACTGAGATCCAAAGAATGGATGGGGAGCCAGCCCCAGGAAGAGCATTCCAGGCAGAGAGGGCAGCACGGGCAAAGGCCCTGGGGCTGGGAAGCTCGGTGTGTGCGAGGGCAGCAGTGGGACCGAGGGTATTGGACTCCGGGGGTGAGGAATCGGGGATGTTGAGAGGTGGGCAGAGGGCCAACCACTCCTGGCCCTGAGAGGAACTTGCCTCAGCGTCCCCTTCCCAGCTGGGGGACCTGGGGCAAGTGACTTAACCACTCTGGGCCTCAGTTTCCTCATGGGTAAAATGAGGATAAAAACAGCAACCACGCACAGCACTGGGAGCTGGGCCTGGCACAAGGTAAGCCCAGCAGAAGTGCTAGCTGCCACTATTATTATTATTATCGTTAACAGAGGAGCCCAGGAGACAGAGTCAGACCTAGGAACCAGACCTGGAAGCCAGGCCCGCGGTTCTGGGTCTTTTCCATCCCGACCGCTCCCTCCCACCTCTCCCTGCACACACACCCCGATTTGGAAGAGTCTGCAGCTGGCAGAGGCCTCGGGTCTGGATGCTGTTCAGGCCCCTAACTGGCAGCCTCTGTGTCTCTGAGACCGTGACCGCATCCCCGGGAGGAGGGCTTGGCGTGCCTGCCCACCCCTGCGGGCTGTGGGTGCCCCGGCAGGCCCGCTGCCTCCTGCTCCAAATGGGAAGGAGCTGGCGAGTGGCCCCTGGGAGGCGTGGCGATGGCTATGGGGCCCCAGGGGCCGTGCTGGGGCTCAGAGGGCAGCGGGGGGGGGGTGTCCCAGGAGCAGGGCCCCGCCAGGGCTGGGTGTGGCCCTCTGGCCCGGGGCAGGCAGCGAAGGGCAGGGGGAAGGCGCAGCCCGGTGGAGATGAGAGACTGGAGGCAGGAGGTCCCTGTGGGGCTCGGATGGCTCCCTGACCAGGACGCCGCCCTGCCCGGATGCCACAGCCGCTCCCAGGATCGCTCTTCCCTCCCTCCAGCTGCTCAGAGCCAAGCTTCGTCCTCGCTCCTCCATCACACCCCAAACCATCAGCAGGTCCCACCAACTCCACCTGCAAACACACCTGGAGTCTGACCATGCCACTCCACCCCGCCGCCGCCACATCTCTGCCCTGAATCGCTGCAAAGCCTCCTCAAGGAAGGGGGCGCCCTCACCCGGGCTTGCTCTGACCACACCCATTCTCCACACGGCAGCAGGATAACCACACCAAACAGAGCCGGGTGGCATCCCTAGCCCTCCGATGACTGCCCCCTCACCCGGGAATAAACCAGTCCTTTCTGACCTGGGGTTGCCTGTCTGGCCTCCTCTGCTTCCCACCTCCACCTCTGGGCCCCATGCTGCTCTCAGCACACTCCTACCACAGGGCCTTTGCACATGCTGTTCCTAGGGGCTAGAATGCTCTTCTCTCAGATGTCCATGTGACTCATTTCCTCAATTCATTCAGTCTCTGCTCAAATGTCTGCTCAGTAAGGCCAGAGCACCCCATGTAAAATACTAACTCCAACCTTCCCTACTCAGCTGTGTTTCTCTACTGGGCCCTCACCACTACTTTACATACTTCACACTTACTTGTTCATTTGTTTGTCTGAATCCCCACACTGGGACGCAAGTTCCTGGAGGGCAGGGTGTTTTCTGTTCTGTTTTCTGGTGGATCTCAAGCCTAGTATAGGTCCTGGCACACAGTAGGTGCTCAATAAATACCACTCTGTGAATTGAGTGGAGCCAGGAGGCTGGAGCTGGGCTTCTTTCTGGCCAGGGGATTGTGGCAGGTCACATCTCATTCATTCGGCCAGCACGGGGCTGGTGCTCTGTGCAGGCATGGGCTGGGAGCACAGGGACGGATCATGGTGCTGATTCCCAGTGGAGCTCACAGACAGAGGAGGGGACAGCGGGGGAGTGAGCGAAAGGAAAATGCAAAACCAATGTCCTGCTGGGGGGCAGGCACAGAGGACGCCTCTCACAGTCTAGCAGAGTTGGGAGATTTTTTGCAAGAGTCAGAGTCAAGACGGGAAGGCGTTAGCCAGAGGAAGCTGGGAGAGAGGGAGACGGCCTCCAGGGGCTGAGGTCGAGGTGCAGGAGCAGAGGGGGCGGCTGCCGGGAGGCCAGTCGTGGAGGGGTCCTGGGGCAGGGCAGGCCCCGGGAGGATTTTAGAATGGAGAAGGGCCTGGTGGAGGGCGAGCCTAGGGGCCGGGTGACGCGATAAAGGCTGTTGCCACGGTCAGGCGAACGGTCAGACGAGAGATGCCGGTGGTGATGGGTGAGCAGTGGGCTTCACTGAGTTTGGTTTGGAAGCACAGCCTGGGCTTCAGGTCCCCCACCTGTAAGTGAGGGGTGGGCCTGGGCTCTCCACGGGACCTCACAGCTCATACTCTCGATGTCTGCTCCTCTAATCCCACCCTCCCCCGTGCTAACACTAAGTGGCTTGGGGAGCGGGGGGAGTATGTCACAGGGTTGCCGGTCAAGAGAGTGAACCCTTACAATGCAAACGCCCCGCGTCGCCAAGTGGATGTTGAGACAGCATCCCATCCTGGAGAGAGAGGAACAGGGGTGCTGGGCTGAATGGGGCCCCCCAAAAGATATGTCCAAGTCGTAACCCCAGGAACCTGTGAAGGCGGCCTTACTGGGAAAAAGGGTCTTTGCAGACGTAATCAAGTTAAGGATCTTGAGACGAGATCATCCTGGATTTAGCGCCGGCCCTAAATTCAAGGACAGGGGTCCTTAGACGAGGCAGATCTGACAGACACAGGGAAGGCCATGGGGCCTCGGGCAGACACTGGGGGGCTGCAGTCACAGCCCAGGAACGCTTGGGGCCCCCAGGAGCAGGAAGGGGCAGGAAGGATCCTCCCCTAGAGCCTGTGGAGGGAGCCTGGCCCTGCTGACACCTCGATTTTGGACTTCTGGCCTCCAGGACTGTGAGAGAATGCATTTCTGTTGTTTTAGGCCCTAGTTTGTGGTCATTTGTCACAGCAGCCCCAGGACACTCACCCAGGAGGGATCGCAGGGGATTGAAACCTGGCTGAGAGGTGATTCGCTGAGGATTATCTTTCTTCCCAGTTTCGGTTTGGGCTTTAAGCCCAGCTCCGCCCAGCTGTGCACCCTGCTCCCGGCCTGGCAGCTGGGGAGGCGTGGCGCACGGAGGCAGGGCCGGCGGCTCAGGGGTGTGGCGGTCGGCGCCTCTTCCTGGAGCCGGGCACCTGATCCCTCCGGGAAAACATCCTGGGCTTCCAGTTTGCCCAGGGTGGAGTCGCACGAGGGCAGGGAACGAAGGGCAGCAGGAGGGGCAGCCCGGCTCTGCCTGGCCTCGTCTGCCCACACTGTGGCCGTGAAGCCCCAGCAGCTCTGCTGTCAACCTGGGAGGCCGTTTAAAGCGGGAAGACAGATTGCAAGGAAGTGATGTTCTACCAGTCACGGGCGAGGGGCCCCTGAGTGAATCCGAGCGCACACGGAGGGGTGCTGCTCCCCAGGAAGGCGGGTGGGAGGACACCGAGAGGCCAGGGATGGGAAGGGGGGCACCATTTACACACCACTCACCCCCCCACGGAGCTCAGCATTTCACCTGCATTACATCAGGGGGCCTCTCAGCATCCCCACCAGGGAGCTGCAATTAGAGGCGCGTTACAGACGAGAAACTGAGGCAACACGACCTTCCCAAGGTCACTCCCACAGTAAGTGGCAGGGCTGGGGTCAGAATGCAGAGGACCCCAATCTTGGCTGAGCAGCTGAGAAGGCGTAAGGGGGGAGCAGAGGCCAAGGGCCCGGGGGGGGCAGAGGCCAAGGGTTGGGGGGGCAGAGGCCAAGGGTCAGGGGAGCAGGGCTGGACAACCAGTCAAGGACAAGGGCAAACGGGGCCTGGACACCGCCTGGCCCAGCTGCGCGCTGTCTGTGCTAGAACTGGGGTGACAAGGACGCGCAGGACTGGACCCCTGCCCAGGGACCTGATTCGGGTCGGGGCGGGGGCTGGGATGCAGCGTTGTTCCAAGCTCCCTGGTGCTTCTCAGGGAACGGAGGATGTGGTGGATCCAGGCAGATCTGAGGCAGACCCCAGCCCCCCTCCCTCTGGATGGAGGAGGCGGGGCCCTGGCCGAGCCCTCACTGACGGGAGCTGGACAGAGAAACGCAGGTGGGGGGCACAGGCGCGAACGTCTGAGAACTGGAAGGAGCCCCGCGAGGTGGCAGTGTCCCCCTGCTGTGGGGGTGGATGGGCCGCGGGCCTCCCTGTGGGGTCTGGAGCTCCTCCGCAGGACCGGAGGGAGGCCCACGCCGCGGAGCACAGGGACTGCTGCGGGCTCATTCACCGTGTGTCAGGCTCTGGCCCCACCCCAGAGACTCCGAGTCACAAAACCTCAGGCTGTCTGTGGCCCGCGGCGCCCAGGTCAGCCTGACATGGTGCCAAGGTGAGGGCCACAGGTCCAGAAGGACGGAGGTGGGGGAGGGCTGCCCTGGCTGTCCTCTCCCCCTCCCCTGCGTGCCAGGTGGGTGGGGCAGCAGGCCAGGGCCGCTCTTTGAGGAGCTGGTGGTGGCAGTCAGCGAGGGGCACGCTGAGGAGAGCCCCCACATTGGGGCCTGATGACGACGGCCGAGACGTGTTTTGAGCACCTTCCATACTTGGGTCGTGTGCTAGGGCTCCTCTGGAGGAGCTCCCTTCACCCTCCCAGCAGCCCTGTGCGGCAGGGACCAGCGTTAGCCCATTTTACCGCTGGGGAGACTGAGGCTCAGGGGTCCCGGCACTTTCCTGAGACCCCACGACGGCAAGCGGGGGCTGGGGCCCCCACCCAGGCCACATGACTCCGCAGCCCACAGGCGTAACCCTCCTCACTCCAGGGCCAGAGGGCCTGGCCACCACCTCTCTGGGGCCCCCTCCTCCTCTCTGCCAGGCCAGGCCCACACCAGACCCTCTCGCTCCCCGCTGCGGGCCCCTCCCTACCTGATGACGAACAGGCTGGCTGCTGCGGGGCTGACAGGCGACCAGCACTGGCCGCAGAGGAGCAGGCACAGTGGAGCTGGCCCTCCCCGGGGGACCCCCCCTAATGTAGATGTGGCAGCAGGAGAGGCGGGGGACCAGAGGCCAGGCTGGCCGGTTTGTCGCATCACAAAGTCCTGCCCTGGGCTGGCCTGGGGTGCCTGTCAGTTGGGGGAAGTCTCCGAGAGGCTCTGCCTGAGGGGCTCGGCCAGGCCCAGCTCCCTCTCTCTGCAGGGCTCCACCAGAGCATCTGCAGCCTCAGTGGTGGCACCTTGAAAACGGGCAGCACCACCTGCTCGAGGCGTGGCCTGGGGCCAAGGGCCGAACCGCTGCAGGACTCAGTCTCCTCGCCTGTGGCGTGGGAGCGGGCCCAGGGTGCCAGGCCTGTGGGCATCCTGGGCGTCTCAGACAGGCGGACCTCCACTCGGGACCGGGCAGGTGTCCTCTATTTTCTGGAGCTTTCTGGACGGAGCTGCAAAAGGAGAAGCAAGATCACAGCTCATTCCAAAAGCAGGCGGCTGGAGCCAGCAGAGCCTGGAAGCAGGGCCACCACCCAAACGGCTGCCCCAAAGGCAGAAGTGAGAGTGGACGGGCGGAGGGGGAGGCTGCCCAGACTCCGGGGTCACCACTGTCACTCGGAAGGGCCTGCAAATCATCTTGTCCAACGTTTCTAAACTCTTGCCAGCAGCCAAGAGGCTTTTCATAAACAAAAAATATCTCACCTGGAACAATACGAAAAATTCTAAATTAAAAAAATAATTTCAGTGGCTTCATCTGTTTTATAAATTAAAAAGGATACATTTACTTGTAAATTCAGTAATGGCCATGCAGCTCATAAGTGATGAGGCCGGGATTAGGACCCATTCAAATAATATATGTCCTAGCCTCTATCCTCACAAACAGTCCTCTGCAATGACAAAACTGGCAACAACAACAACTGTGTAGGGCTACCACGGTGTCTCTGTGTCCGAAGGTCATCCTATAACAAAGATGACGGAACATGGTCATGTCCGGGGCGCGTGGACGGCTGGTGAGTCTGCACGGGTGATGAGGTGCAGGCATATATAACCCATAGGCTGTGCCGGCACCACGGGGGCTACGCTTTGCCCGGCGAGACTCTCTTGGATTTGTGCTGGCGGAAAGGAGGGACCTGACAATTGGACGGATGTCCTTCCCTCTCCCCTAATCTCTTCCACCCTCTGCTCAAGTCCTCCCCCTGCTCTGAATCCGCGGCCGTGTCTGGCATCAGCACAACCCGCCAACCTCCCGGCGTTGGGGTGCACCGGGCTTTTGATGTAAGGGTGTAAAGCAAGAGGCCTGGAGAGCGTTTCTCTGGGGCCCCTCTGGTGTCGGGGCGCGAGTGGAGGTTGAGTCTGGGGGGACAGAGGGGCCATGTGTTCGTTAATGCGTTTCTCTCATGTGTTTGCGCTGTGTAAGGCCCTCCACAATGGCAGACCCCTCCTTCCTGGGTCCAAGGCTGGTACCGTTATTAATGTTGTTTTTAATACATCACACTCCTCCTCAGGAGAACTTAAGCGACCAGCTGCTTCATTGGAGGGTGGTGGCTGCAGGATCCTGAGGTCTCGGGTAAAAATCGTAACTTCCAGCAACAAGGCTGTTTGGAGAATTGCAAAAATTGGAATTTTGGGGCTTGGGATGTCCGGTGCTTGTTTCGACAAGCCGACTGTGTGTGTGGCTGCACAGTACTGAGAGAGAGCTCTGAGTCACGCAGACAAAACACTGCAAATATCTGAGGTTTAGATGGTTCTCCGTGGGTGCTGCAACTCAACAGATTTGGGGAGAAGCCTGGGTATCTGAGGGCTTAATGAGGCTGAGATCACCTGTACCACAAGCTGACGGGTCAGTGGCTCCAATGTGCTAATATTTGATACATCATATTTATGAATAGGCTGTTTTTGCTGCAGTTAAAAACAGTTAGAAATACGATTTTTAAGTGAGAGCTTAATAAAGCATTCATGGAGCTCTGAAGGCCTGTGGAGCCTGGCCAGTCCCTCAACATCACTGCGCCAAGCTGTCGCCAGGTCGCACTGGGGAGCCGCCACCTCCTGACCCCGGAGCGCAGCTCCTCTGGCTGGGACGCCAGGCTCTGAGTTCTGATCGCCGGGCTCTTGAGCGCACATCTGAAGACCCTGCCTTTGATAAAGCCCAGGGAAAAGGCCACGTTGTGTGTCCAGAGACGGGGTCCTTCAGAGCGTTTCCCCAAGTGTCAGACGTGCTAAACCGGCGGCTCTTGGACAAAGCAGTCATCTCACTGAATCCTTTTCTAGTTCTTGTTCTTTCAACAGTCTGTAGAGGACTTTTTGAGTCCTCAGGGAGAACGTCTGTAAGTCTGTTTACTTAGTGTATCTTTAACACTGCCTCACATTTATCCCTCTCTCTTTTTTGACAGAGAGAGAGAAAGAGAGGGAGAGAGAGAAGGCAGCCATATCTAACTAGAATTTAATACTACTATTTTGTTTTTATGATATTATTTTTACTTTTAACTTCTATGTATTGACAAGAAATATTGAGTATTTATAGCAGTGATATAAAAAATTGTGACGGTGGTCACCGAATGACTGAGGTTTGAGGCCATGACCCCTCAAGTTAGAGGGATTTGTGATCTGGGCTCCAGGCGTGAATCAGAAAGTTAGAAAGTCATCAGTCAGCCCGAGTGGAGACCCCACTAAGGACTGGAGAAGGAGTCCCCAGGGACATTTGCAAATGACCCCACCCTCTCCACTGTAAGTGACCGCCTGTGGGGGAAGCTTCGTGAAAGCCGCCCCGGGTCACTGCAGGGCTCGGAGTATTGCTACTTAGCCCCTGAGAGAGAATGGGGAGCCTGCTGGGCGGGATCTGGGTCCAGGTTTAATGCCCAGGTCTGTTACCTGCTAAGAACTTAGGTTAGGCTCCAAGCTCAGGAAAGGAAGAGGCAACACCGCCATCTGGTGGCTAATGTGGTGGGCAGCGCCTAGGATGACAGCTGATTCAGACCCAGCTATTCCAGGCTCAAAACCATGGCTAGCATCAGAGCACATCTCTGACCCTGAGTGACAGTGGCCCAGGACAGAACAGGGATGCGCGGCTCCTTGCCTTTCTAGCCACGGCACTGCCACCGCCCAAGGAGCCACATCTAAGAGCTTGCTGTGTGGCAGGCTCCACGCGGGACTCCAGACCTGCCTCTAAGGAGGGGCCACTGACATCAGCATTCCACGGTCACAGCCAGGCGGGCAGCCCCACGTAACATCTGGGGGGCGATTTGGGGACACTGTCTAGCTTGGGAGAGGTGGAAGTGGGACTGGGGAGGAGGGAAGTGTGTCTTTTCAGTTTCCCTTTTTGTGTTCAAGGGGAACTTCCCCTGAGAGGTCTTGGTCACACAGCAGTGCTGTAAGAGCAGGAGCCCCTGAGCCAGTCCCTCTGGGCCTCAGTGTCTTCAGCTGTCAAGTGGGGACAATGGCGCTCCTTCACAGGCTGCCACGGGTCGTCCCGAGCCAATGCCAGTCCACGCCCAGATCCCGCAGGCGTGGAGCCACGTTCCATCAAGGGCAGTGGGGACAATGGTTCCTGGGCGGGGACTGGATTTGGGGGAAGTGGGGTCTTGTGGGTGCCGGGGGGCTCGTGTCCTGTTCCCACACAGCACCCCCAGGGGGACAGGATTCTGGGGAGACCCAGGGCCAAGGGCCAAGCCTGGTCAGGAAGACCCTGCCTGTCAGGGGCAGCGAAACTTGGGGCATGGAGCCTATCAGAGTGAGTGAGGTCAAAGCCAGGGTCCCTCTGGTGAAAGCAGGTGTCTGGATGGAGGAGGCCCCAGGACTCATGCCAGCTGTGCCATGTGGTGAAAAAACCAAGCATGGCCCCTGCCCTCAGGGGGAGACACACATACACACACACACACACACTCACTCACACAAAGGTAAAACCGTCTCACTGCAAAGGCTCTCGGAAGGACAAGCCCGCAACGCTAGGAGAGCAAGTAATGGGGAGCCTGAAGGTCAGGGAGTCAGGGAAGTTTCCTGAGGAAGGGACTGCGTGTGAAACTTGGAGGATGAGTAGGCATTCCCTGGGAAGGGTGGGGAAGAGCATTTCACGGGGAGGGAACAGCGGCTGGACAGAGAGGAGAGTGCCTGGGACAGTCCCAGAAAACCAGAGTGGAGGGTGGGCTCTGGAGGTTCCAGAAGCCTGGGTGTGTGGGGGAAGATGAGGGGACAGAGGTTCTGAGTGCATTTCAGGATGACAACTCTGCTTGCTGGCCTGGAGAGGGATCTGGAACTGTTCGGTGTAGACATGTGGGCAGACCAGTTGGGAGACTATTTCTTTCATGAGATCAGGCGAGAGAGGACATGGCCTGAGCTAGGGAGATGGTGGTGAGACGGAAAGCGGCTTGTCCAGGGGCCTGGGGGCGGGTGGGATGTGGGGATGAGGGGAGTGAGGCACCCAGGATGACCCCTGGGTCTCTGGGTGACACAGCTGGATGGCGGGGGTGGCCTCACTGGGAAGGACGACTGGAAGAGCTGGTTTTGGAGGGAGGGCGTCAGCCGGCAGCCTTGGCTACGCGGAACCTGAGCTACGGCTGAGAGACGCGAGACGTCGAGGTGCACGCTTGAGGCTGGAGAGTTGCGTTGTCCACACACGGGAGTGTCGTCGGTGGAGAGACCACAGAATTGACTGTCTAGACCGGGACCCTTCCGAGAGTGAAGGGACGCTCTCTTAGCAATGATGCCAGGACAATGGCACGTCAGAGAGGGACTTCCCCACACAAGCAGGGACGGTGGTCCCCCTTGTCATCGCTGTGCAGTGGCTGGAGATGAGATCCTCTAGGGGAAAGAGGGGACTCCTGGGACCAGGCCTTGAAGGGAGATCTGTCAGGGTGGCGGGCGCCGAGGACGCGCTGGGAGAGAACGTATCTATCACGGCACCAAGAGTGTCTGGGGCTCAGAGTGGTCCACAGTCCTGGCCACTGCCCACAGGGCACCTGCTGGAGTTAGCCCCTTCGAGGGCACGTGGGCCTCGGCACAGCTGTCGAGGAGTGGTGGCTTTGTGAGCCCACTGGGGAGGACTCCAGCAGAGGGGAGGAGATGGAGCGAGTGCAAATGGCCAGTTCTCTCTGGAGCAGCACATAAGGCTAATCCCTAGTCCATAAAAATAGCATCTGGATATTGGAGGCAGCTCTCTGGTCTCCCTCCTTCCCTGCCAAAGTTATCAAGAAGGGACTAAATTATGCGCTGGATGTGCTGTCTAATGAGCAGGAGTGAGGACTGAGCCCCAACTGCGTGCCAGGCGTCACAGATTCAAGGCAACGCACTTGAAATGGACAAGCCCGGGGTTCCGGCCTTCCTCACAGAGACCTACAAGGCTTCGTGGTAGGTGGGCACGGCCGCTCCCCTCTCTTCCTTCTCCTAGGAACTGCCTCTGGCTGCTCATCTCTCTCCCCACCACGAAAACTGCTCCACTCGACTGGTCCAGAGATAAAGTGGGCTTCCAGCTGGACCAATCACAGGGCCGGTTTCCCCATCTCCAAACTGTGCCGATCATCCATCATCGCTCCACCCAGGCCAGGGTTGAGTCGGGGATAACTAGTTGGGGGATCCAGAGGTGGTCTCTGGGGTGGCAGAGCTGTGGGCAGCCCTGCTTTGTGCCCTGGGGCAGAAGTGAGTCTCCCATAAGTGGCCGAGGCTGCAGAGGACCAGCAGGGAGCATGGCGAGGAGCCGGGGCCCTGGCTGGCAGCTGGCCTTCCTCCGCTCCTCCGGCTCGGCTGCTCCACGCTGGCTCCAACTGTGTGCCCGGCTCGTCTACCCCTCCGTGGACTTTCGGAGCCGACTTCCCTGTTTGCCCTGAACTAGCTGGAGCTGGGAGTCTGCCCTGACCCACAGGCAAACACTGACTGCTCGGATCTGAGAGACGATGTTTGATTTAAACCTTGGAACTGTCCTTCCCAGGACCCCTCCCCCTTACCAGAATATTAGTGTCATGACATACCCCGTCCCTGGTCACCCAGCCCTGGGTGGCTGCCTTTCCGATTACCCCCACGACTCCTGCCAGGTCCCTGCCCCCCTGCTCTCTGCGGCTTTGCTCGGGGTGTCTGGCCGGGAGGCAGGGCGGGGGTGGGGGGGAAGCACAGACCCTGGCACTGGTCAGGCCCCGGCTCCACTCTCGCCAGCTGCTCAGCCCTCTCTGAGCCTCAGTTTCCTCATGTGTAAATAAGAAACACTCCCTCGGGCTTCAGGTTGGGAGGTGCGAGGAACAGCTGGCCCAGCGCGGATAAATGCTGCTTCCTTCCCCTTTCCTTGACGGTCTCGAGTTAGCCAGTCACGAAACGCAGACGCAACCTGGAAAACACGAAAAACAAAGGCCAGAAAGAGACTCAGGGTCCCCTCTATCGATTCTGCTCAATTGCAAATAATGCAGAAACTTTCTGTGGTGAATAGAACCCACGGGGTGGCCTTTGTTTCTAAGAACAGATCAGAATGGACTTCATATGCCAACGAACGCCTGACAATCCAATTAAAAATCAGAAAGAGATGCTCGCTCCATTTAAATCTTAAATTTGCCTTACGCTTAATTTCAAAGTCCAGAATAAGCTGAGGCTTGCAAAAATGTTAAGAGATTTTCCACCCCTTTTATGCCACATACAGAACAAGGCGAAAGCAGCCCCCTTTGCGGGAGTGTTATGCCCCCAGATGACCAAGAGAGGGCACAGCTACGCAACCCTTAGTTGCTCTTGACCTGGAGGGCAGTGAAGGTCCAGCTCTGGAGGGGACGGG